CAGTTAAATTCAAGTTTTCCATCTCTGCAAATTCATTTTCTCCATTGGTTGGAAAACCATTTTCTATGATTGATATGGATATTCCTGACATAAATGAGTCCCACATGAAAAAACTCTGCAAAAACAAACATCAATGTGTAAATAATTAACTAAAATCTCAGTCGATCAATCAAGAAAATCAAATTATAAGTTGAGAATTGAGATAATCATATATAATATTTGACACTTACAGTATAAAATGAGCCTATCCAAGTATCCCGAGTTCTTTTTAGCAATTGGAAGCAATATTTCGCTTCATATGTATCTTGCCACATTTCAAATTCATGGAAGAATTCTTCAGTTAAAGGAATGTCACTGGTTGCATCCAATGAGACAAGTGTAATTGGTATGCCTGAATGGAAAACCTGATCGAATATCATCACACAACACACTCTTGAATGATCAATTCTCAACAACAAGAAAAAAAATAGCAGGTGTCATTTTAGATGATTTCTGATTCATTAATGGTACGTACCTGATAGGCAGCGAATGGGTCGCAAAAAATATTGAACTCTGCATAAGGATTAGTAGTTTTTGTCGTAAATAGATTGCCAATATCAGCAGTGGAATTCTTAGATCTCACACCTCCCCCCATGATGAATATATGTTGAATATTCTTCTTCAAATCTGGATTCGACATGAGAAATAATGCGAAATTGGTATGTGATCCCATTAAAAACACACTTATAGGGCCTTTGGATATTGCATCCTTCATGACTTGTTGCACGGTTGGTTGTTTTAGTGGCGAGTATTTCCTGTCTCCCTGCATTAATGTTGGAAATTCCGTCATTTTTGCTCAAAGAAATCGTCATTTTTTGCCAGTTTTCTTGCAGTGTATGTAGTCAACTAAGTTAAAATATCATCAGTCACTTGATGTATGTAAATACCTTCCTTTAGGGTTAATTATATACGATGTTTTAATCACGACACGAACCTGTGGAAGGAATTCTTTGCTGACTCCTAAAGTTGTATCGATATCCAATCGTCCATTTTGATTCAACGGAATAGACTGTCTGTACCGACAGTCCCCCACAGTCGACAGCCCTTGATCGATGATAGGAAGATAACCACCGACATTTTCTTGAATGGTTCCATTTGATGATATCCCACCTTCACCTCCTACTCCAACAGCTATATCATCGCGATCCATCATGTAAAGAATATCGTATATATGATTAATAGCATGCCCGGCGCTCGACCATGCATTTGCACTGATCGTAATTGCCTATAATTTTAAAACAAAATGCATTATACGTTTTTGTAATGTAATTAACTTCTAAACATGCACTATTTATTCATAATATATATAGGGTACGTAAAGGAAATTTAAATTTTACCATCATTTGAGATGATTGACTGAAATGTATTATAAGACTATATGAACCAAGATCAGATGTAGACTCCCCCCATGCGACTGGGTGCGCCACCTGATCTTGGTCCTCCAAACTCAAAAAAAATCAACGGTCAAAATAAGTTTAGTTGGACTGGACGCACCAGATTGAGTGAGCGCACCTGGCTGTACCCAATCTGGCCACTCTGGACATTTTTCCTATATATATAACATTTGAAACTTATCTTAAATAAAAACCCTTTTGCCTTTGTTACAATGGAGGAATATTATTTAAAGATCACATCCAGATAATTTATAAATTACCCACCTTGAGGTCAATTTTAGAGCGATTGTGCTTCAAGATGTAGAAGAGAGCAAAGATATCATCAGTATCAAAATCAGTATCCAATAGAATCCGTGTAGGTTCCATGGTATCACCAACACAAATTGCAGCTCCAACGACACCAAGTAAAATAAACGACCAGAAAAATATTTTCTCCATTATATGATTAATTACTGGGGTTAGATGAAAAAGATCTAGAAAGATTTGATTTATTATGGACATACTGTATTTATACAGTTATCAAATTTCAAGTTTTTGATGATGTTTAATATATGGGATATGATTTTAGATATAAAATCTTAATCATTTATTTAATATTTAGTTAATATATGAGATTTTTTCAATCTTGATGCAAGAAATTAAGAACTTAGATTTGTTGATATCTAATTAATACCTAACCCTTAAATAATATCGATATTTAATAATTAATGTCATTAATGTCATATTTAATAATTAATGTTTTCATAGCAATCGAAACATTCTTTTTATACAAATCCTTTGGCGGCTACTAATCTAGCCTTATATCTCTCAATTTCACCATTTAGTTGGTATTATATTTTGTAGATCCATTCGGATCTCACTGTTTTTTTATCTTTGGGTAGATCAGTGAGAACCCAAGTTCCATTTTTCAAGAGTGCTTTCATCGCATTTTCCATTGCATTTACAAACTTTACCCAATTGGGGGGGGGGGCTTGTGATGCCTCTTGAAATGTTGCTGGTTCACTGTTAATAGTGATTAATTTTATGACATAACACAAAATTACTCGTTGGGTATTTTGTATAGTATTCAGTGTCGTTTTCAAGATAAAAATCATGGTAGTGTTTTGGCACTTTCAATTTCCTTCCTATCTTGCTAAACATTCCTGGTTTTGATTGATTTATTAATGTTCTATTTGGAATATTTATTCTCTCATGTGAACAGATAATTAAACTATTATTCTTTAATGATGTTCATTAATTTATATGATCATGATTTTGGTTTGTGTTTTCATTCTTTACTTTGTTATTACAAAACTGACATTGTTAGTCAAACTGTTCCTGATGAATGATGATAGATCTTCCGAACATTAGGTTATATTCATGGAAGCATTGAAGTGATCCATAGGGAGGGGCATCAAGCCTCAAAATCTTCTGGTTTCTTAAAATAAATTGACAACTCATATTTTGCGTTTATGATACTTTGTAAGAGCATAACCAACCTTGAGGCAGCAGCACTGAAGCATACTGTTGCCGGTCAAAGTCTCCTGTGAAACTTTATTTGGTTTCAAAGTTCATTTTTTATGCCACAATCATTACCTTGCAATGAATGTAAAATTTGAAGCTGAATGCCCAAGAAAAGGAAACTTGTATGAATCTTTTAACTTTTACTCTCAGCGAGAAAAATATCAACATGTTTTTTTGCTTCTCAATTCTTTGTTAAACTATTTATTTCATAAGACCCAAATGATGATTTACATTTTACATGGCCATATAAAATCAGTTGGTAAAAAACAGGTAAACCTTTAAAAAAAATTATTGTGGAAGCAAAGATGATAACTAACACAACTAGTTTTACTCAAGGCAAGCATATGTAGAAGCAATTACTTCAAGAAGAGAAGAAACAAACAACATTTGTATTGCCTCATCAATTTGGTTGAAGAGAGGAACATGAACAAATAGGGACTTGATACCATTGCCATCTGCGAAACGGAGAGAATTGTAATAAACATAGTTGCATACAAATCGACCTGCATCATTGGATACAACAACTGGGAATCCCATTTTTACCAATTCAGTCACGATCTTGTTAATAGGAAGAGATGTCTGGCAAATCAGAGAAACCCTCATTTATTAAAGTGTGTAAGAGTGAAAAAAAACATAAATCATCTTTTCAAAAACATACCTTTCGAATTTGTTCTATTCCTCCATCTTCTTTGATAATAGATTCATTCTATAAGACAAAGTTTGATTATAAATTATTTAGTCCATTCATTCAAAATTTCAGAGACTAAAAGGATAATTACCGAAGGTACCCATCCTAATTGATCTTCCCAAAGAAAATCAGCTTCATTAATTGCCTGGCTTTCAATGGCAAACTTGGTTATGGCGCTACTGACGCCAAAGTGAATCTAAATGGGAAGAAATTGAACATAGAACAGATGATATCCATATAATATATTATCAGGTAAATTACAAAAGAAAACTAACCAATATGGTTCTACTCAATTTTGAAGGATCATCTTCTTTTCCTTCAACAGCTGATTTGAAAAAATCACAAAGAGGGCTAAGTGCATCTTTTCCAGCCGCCACAAGAATCTGACACTTCTCAATGACAACTCCTTTTGGCATTCCTTTCACTTTCATAAACCATTTTAAATTATTGACAATTGATTCAGTTGGATTATATGGAACTCCTATGAACTTTCCAAATCCAGTAATAAAGACTGACAGTGGTGCTTCCTCTGCAGACTCCATTTCCACACTACTTAATTAATGTGTAGGGTTTTGTTTCTTCTAAATTCGATCCAATCAAGCCTGAAAAAGCTTGAAAATTAAATAAATTAAAGACGGATCAAAGAAATCAAAATATGGAGAGATTTTTTTCAAACTGAACGTAGCAAAGAACTGGAAAAAATCTGAGTTTTGCGTGTACTTCTCTGAAGTGCCGTCCGTCCAGCCGGACGGTGAATCGTTGATCGAGGAAGAATAGGAATTCCGACGACAGATATCGGGAAGGGAGAATAAAAAAAATGAATGAGCCAATGAGGAATGAATCAAGAAGATGAGTGGGGAAAAAAACGACTTTTAAAAAAAATTAGGAAACGACGGTTTCTGATATAACTTTGGGTGAATATCAATAACTCCCCGATAAATTATAATTTATTCTTTTTAGATATTTGACTTAGTCTCTCTAATATCCAAAAATAATAGTAGAATAATGAAATATTCCAGACATAGTCAGTAGTCACACAACTCAACTCACAAACCTCATTATCTGCTCTTACTTGAAGCTAACTGCTGTGCGGACATTGGAAAAATACAAAACCCACCGAGAACCGCCGTCCGCCGACCGACGCAAGGAAGTACGGAATTCCACTCAGTGAGTTTAGTTTCTTTTCCGTACTCTGATGATCATATTAATAACTTGAACTTCGAGATGAATTTGAGAAAATGAAGTTTTTCTTCTTCAAACAATGGATTTGATCTCTCCATTAATTAGTTTCTGATTTATACAGAAATTGGAATTTTGGAATTTTTCTGCAATTGAATTTTCTTCGAGAATCAACTATGAGTTACTTTAATTTTGTCAGTTTTTAATTTGGCAAATTGGATATTTAGTTAGATGCTGATTTCCATAAACCCTAATATAAGATCTAGGACTAGGAGGCTTTCTGTTGTCTTCAAGTTGGAATTTTGAAATAATCTTTGTTATTTACGAACTACTTTAATTGTTCATATAATAATACTGCAAGACTTCTAATTTCGATTTTTTCAGATGATGGCAAGCGGTGTCCATTTGTTGCAAACCAACCATTTTTTCCTATGTGATTCCTCTAAAGATTTTAGACATTTAAAGTTCCAGAAACTGAAAATCTGTACCGTCATCCGAAGGAATTTCAAAAATATATACAGAAGGATGGAAATCATGGGTAATGATAAGTCTTCTGATCACAAAGAAGTGTCTGAGAGCTTACTTAATGGTCGGTATTAGTTTTAAGTCGTAAGAGTTCGATCTTTTAAACATTTTGCATTCTAAATTTGTAATGAAGAATTAATACCAAGATTAACATTTAGAAAGATAAACGAAGTTAATCTAAGTGACAATTTGAATATAAAGTTATACTTATATCTTAAATTTCGTAAATTTTATTCCATGAAAAAAAACAATAAGAAACATAAAATACATGACGATATATTAGGCGGTTTTTGGCATATCATCTATAGTTTTTAGCCATCTAGGAAGGGTTTACTCTGTTTAAAAAAAGCATAAAACTAAAACATAAGGTGGGTCACAACCTTAGTTCCATCTAATTTAAAAGTATCAATAGCATCTTTAGTGTATGTCTGAGATGCTCCATGATTGGTATCTAAGAGAAAGGAGAGCAAAAGATACCTTTCCTAAAGCTTATTGGCAGCCTTGGATACTTTTGTAGTTGAAGCATTTATTAAAATAAAGAATGAGGATGAAAACACATTCTATGATCAAATTGTACTGTTATTTAACTCAGTGTAAAAATACATGATATACAATTTTATGCTTATAGAGGTTCAAATTCACATAAATAAATTTAAATAGATATTATATTGATTTTGCATATTATTTATTTTTACAGAAAAACTTTATTCTTGCAATGATAAATAATGGAAATACTTTATTTTAAGCCTACAACATTAGTGTTTCTAAATATAAATTGACTATTTTGCAGAATCGGTCAAAGAAACAAATTCTACGGTTTCGTCAAGTTCAAAAGATATAAGCCACATGCAGTCTCCATCACCTACTCCAGATACCCATTCTTACGAGTATCATCACTCCACTGCCAACACACCTTCTCTTTGTATTGCAGTTGTCGGGGCTACTGGTGAGCTTGCAAAATCCAAAATTTTTCCAGCATTGTTTGCTTTATATTACAGCGGCTTTCTCCCTGAGGTAAACTTTTTTTGTAACATGTAATGTTTTTGACGTTTATATTTTCATTTTGGTAATTGGTAATTGATATCTTCTTTTCCTTAACATATCTTATGGATATTTGTTTTGAAGAAGGAAAATATATTAGTAACCAAAATTAGAAGAAAAAAATAAGGTTGTGAATACACTAGGTGCACTAAACCCCCAACTCTTCCTTAAGGCCACAATTACACTATATGCTTATCTCAAGTTCTCAACTAAAGGGGGGTACTACCAAGTACCGGCGATGCAGCCGATACCACCACATACACTTACATTTAAACTTCAACCTCCTTATTATGAGCATGAAATTGCACCCATACTTCACTTTTATAGAAAATAGGTGCACACTCTCAATCTGATCTCTCTTCTTTTAGGTACACATTTTGAATCTGATTCATGCTGATGTTTTTCATTTTGTTTTTTAATTCCATCCGGCTGTTATGGAGTTTTTTTTCCTACATTGGTTAGTACCTTGTACGATTAATTCGAAGATTTCTCACTCTGTTTTCTCATCATTTTTATTTTGTAAAAATGGAGTTTTATTTCTAATATATTTTTCTTTTTATACACACAAAAATGATGCTTGTCATGTCTGCATTCTGAATATTGCTTCTTAATGGATTTTCTACACATTCATGTGCAGGATGTTGGTATATTTGGCTATTCAAGAAAACAACTGTCGGATGAAGATCTAAGATCAATAATAGCAGGAACTTTGACTTGCCGTGTTGATCATAAGTACGAAATATCAGCCTGATTAAATAACTTGATCAATACAAAAAACTATCAATTTTGGTTCATCAGCTTGTGGTTTTTTCATTGCCCATGTTGCACAATATCATCGTTTTTTAAATTATAAAATCTCTCTTTTTATGTATTCAATTGTATTTTGTATCAACATGTAGTTTAGAGATTATCTCCTGGATCACATCAACTCTCTTTATTCAATATTAATATATGAATAAATATTTTTGCACAGAGAAAACTGTGGAGATAAAATGAGCAATTTTCTCAATAGGACATTCCACGTCAATGGTGGTTTGGACAATAAAGCTGGTATGGCAACACTTGATTATCGTATGAAAAATAACGAGGTAATTATTTTTAGCAAAACCTTTTTTAATTTCTATTTTCTTTGAAAAATGCATCATAATTAATCTTTAGTCTCTTTTGCCAGGTCGGTAATGAAGCCAACAGAATATTTTACCTTTCTGTACCACAAGATGCACTATTGGATGTTGCAACATGTATTGCAGATAATGCTCAGTCAAAAAGGGGTTGGAATCGGATAATAATTGAGAAGCCTTTTGGTTTGAATGCTCTATCTTCTCATCAAATGAATCAATATCTTCTGTCGAAATATGAAGAGAAGCAGATATACAGGTTATGATTCGGTGTTTGACCCTATTTATAAGCAATCTTTTGTTGTTATTTTGATGCATGGTGATTTTGTAATTGTTCCATGTAAGATTTGTGTTTGACGATGAAATATCTATGTTCCAGAATAGATCACCTTTTGGGGAAGGATCTTATTGAGAATCTCACTGTTTTGAGGTTCTCCAATCTTGTTTTTGAACCGTTATGGAGTCGAACATACATTTGTAATGTGCAGGTATACATACATGCAAGATTTTCTATGAATTGAAATTAGGTATACACATATAAGATTTTATTAATACATTACAGTCACTTGGTTATTTTTTCTTTTAAAATTGTTTATAGGTAATCTTATCTGATGATACTCCTATTGAAACCCGGGGAAGGTAATACCTTGATGTATTAAGACCCAAATGTAATCTTATTGCTTGTGTATATTTGTTTTCATGGGAAATGATGAGTAAACTGGTTTTCTTGCTAACAGGTATTCCAATGGATATGGTATAATCCAAGACATAGTTCACAGCCATATCCTCCAAACAGTAGCATTATTTGCTATGGAGCCTCCTGTAAGTCTTGATGGGGAAGACATTCGAAACGAAAAGGTACTTTTATATCTTCATCCAATCGATAGAGATAGATAATCTTCAAATTGGTAACTTTTTGCCATGGAGTAAAGTTATTTTTAATTTTTTATCACGCAAGATTGCAAGAAGATCTTTATCACTATACCAAATGGTTCAGGACAGCGCTTTATAAAAACCCTAAAAAAGAAGATTACCAAGAACCTTATGCTATTTAATGAAGATTTTCTAGCTTTGATTGTTTTAGGTCAAGGTTCTCAGGTCCATAAAAAAACTTGAATTTAGTGATGTTGTGTTGGGCCAACAAAAATCTAGTACCTCGGGTATTACTAGTGGATATACCAACAATCCAAGTTTTTTTGCCGCTGCTTTTTACATCGACAACGCTCGCTGGGATGGTGTTCCTTTTTTGATCAAGACGGGCATGGGACTTATTAAGCATAGGTATATTTATTTAAACTTTTAGATTTTTTTATGAAAAAATAAAGGATTGTGATTTGAAAATGTGAAAAAGTATGGATTACCATTTCATGCAGAGTTGAGATAAGAATACAGTTTCACAATGTCCCAGGGAATCTTTATCATGATCGAATAGGACACAACGTGAATCTAGCGACCAATGAATTGGTCTTGAGAGATATGCCTGAAGAAGCTATATATTTGAGGGTTAACAATAAGGTCCCTGGATTGGGTTTGCAATTGGATGCTTCTGACCTAAATTTACTTTACAGAGATAAGTGAGTGACCAACTTCATTCAACTCTTTTTTTTGTTTATTATTAAGATACAAACTCAACTGATTGTTGAAATTTTCGGCAGATATAATATTGAAGTACCAGACTCTTATGAGCATCTACTTCTAGATGTCATCGATGGAGACAATCATTTGTTTATGCGAAGTGACGAATTAGAAGCTGCATGGGATATTCTAACTCCGGTACTCCATGAGATCGATGAGCATAAAATCGCACCTGAACTCTATGAATTAGGAGGTAGAGGCCCTGTTGGTTCCTATTATCTTGGTGCCAGGCATGGAGTTCGCTGGGCAGATGATTAATTAAAATTCATACAGTTAATTACTTTGTGGTATTTAACAAGTAAATTGTACAATGTTTTCTTTCTATCACTTGTTTTTTTTGCTGATTTTGAACTTAATTTAGCTTAAGAAGTGCAGCTTATAATCATGTATTAAGAGATTGCGTGCAATCTTTTTGCTATTACAAAGGGTTTTACTCTTCACTTCAATTTATTAATAAGATTATCAACCAATTCAAATATTCAATACAATACGTAATATCTATGCAAATAATGGGAACTGTACTTTTAGCATTTTAGTGCAAGCACAGGTGAATTTACAGGATTTCAGTTTGCTTTGACACTACACACTATCTCAGAACACTGTTGGAACTATAGATGAAGTTCTCTTCACCTGCTTGAGTTGAGTTAAGTCGTCCGGCATCCCAACCATTGTTCAAAGGTTTTTGAGTTGAGATTTCATATTCAGGGAGACCATTTTCCTTCCTCTCTTTCCTTCTCTTCCTGTCCTCATCTCTTTCTTTTCTCAGCCAACTCTCTACCGTTCTCTGACAATAAAAATGTAAGCAACTAAACAAGGTTTTAAGATTATAAGAATAGGAAACGATTCACTTGAGATATGGATTTTAAGACATTATATGAGCTATCTTCAATTCTGTTGTTAATTTTAAATCCAATGATTTTTTTTGAAATGATCAAGGATCTCAATATTTTAAATAGACGACTGAAAATATGGTACATATCTCATTGTTTTAAATGGACATTTAAGATTCAAATTATATTATCTGGATGTCGTCCTATAGGAATATACAAAGAGTTGAATATAATATGGTGGGTGGCTCTAGCAAACTCTAATTCTAAGTTGCAGAGTTTAGTAGTTAGGCACAATAATCAAATGAATCCAAAATGTTAGAAAACTCACCATAAGTGACAAATTACTCGTTTCTTTTATTTTCTCCAAAGGAAGTGCTAATTGCAATTTCCCATGAGCAACATAAACCTGACAAAACAATATTCATGTGATTAGCTATGAAAAACAAGGGGAAAATGGATGTAGTTATGATTGCAAACACACAAGATGTGACGGCCAATCTTCAAGACCATCGAAAATATGAGTGGCGTATATAATCGTTGCTCCTCGTTGTTCACAATCTTTTTTTAAGAACGTGAGAAGATCAGCCCTTGCCAAAACATCAAGATCGACAGTGATCTCATCAAGAAGAAGTATCTGATTGATGAAAATAGGAGTATTTTACAGATGGCAAAAAAAAATTTCAATTGGCAATTTGGCATAACATAAAGGAAGGAAGGAAGGAAGAAAGGAAGTTGACATTTGACAAGAACCTTGTATGGTTTTAGTAGACCCATGCAAATCTGAACTCTCCTCCTCTGCCCATCTGATGCAGTATGCATTCTCCATGACAGATCAATGTCTAGAACCTGAATCACAATGGGAATCGATTTGGGTAAAACCCATATTTTGTGAGCAATTGAAAATTTAGAATGGAATTAAAAATAGGTATGAAGGTCTGAAGGAAGAACTACTAAGGCACCTTTATCAATTCTTCTCTTCTCTTGGGATCAATGCCTGCAACTCCAAATATCATCTTCTCCACTGAGATATCAATCTGTATGGAGACCTGAAAACCTGCGAAAGCTACATCTCTCTTCCACTGCAAACCCCATCAACAGTTTTTTAACAAACGCACAGTGTGAGACTTGTGGTGTAAAAGTTTTTTTTTTTTAATTTACACGAGGGTGGTTTACCAACCTCACCACCGAGATAGGAGAGGTCTCCGGAGGAAGTGAGAGTAGTGTCGTGAAAAGCCGATTTCCCCATGACCCGCACCATACTGGGATCAACCATATGCTTACCTCCCAAAATCTTCAGTATAGTCGTTTTCCCTGCACAAATTTATTACCAATTAGGCGAAAGGGGCAAGAATTCAATATCAATTAAACGAAACTCATTTGACGAACCCTAAATAAATTTATTTGGTACGAACCTGCTCCATTGGATCCGACGAGAAGACAGCGCTCACCTGAACGGAGAGAGAGGGAGAAGTCTTCGATGAGAGGCTTCGATCCCGGCGGAGGCTTTCCATTGATTCCAGGGTACGTGAATTTCAAATTGTCTATCTCTATAATCACTGAAGAAGTGGACATTGATTTGGGGTTTGTTGTTGGAATTGGGACGAAAGATTTCGGAAATACGAGTGATTTATTGACGAGATTTTCGCTAGCAAAAAATTCGATCAAATTGTCATGACGGAGAGCATGCCATTTTGACAGAGATAAGATAATGGGCAGCTAAAAAATAATTGAGAGCTGCCATTTCAATGCTCACCATATATAATTGAAGTTTCTCACGTGATTGCATTCTTGTAAAGTTTTTAACAGTCCCGTTCTTACTGATGATTTAATCCAACCTCACCACCGTCGTGAACGAGTGGCTGAATCTCGGTGCACCGAACCACGTGTGCGAGAATTACACCAAACACTCGTCCAATATATATAGGGTGATGCGTGGAGGGTTCGATGTGTCATCGTGCGCCGACCTTCTAAGAATCCACCTTTTTAAATCCAATAATTTCAAGTCTGTTATACTGCACTATATCTTCACTCAAGAACATTAAGCAGGAGAAATTTTCATCATAACACTGTTTATGATCATCGCTTTTGTCTTTGTTTATGATGTAAAATTATATTTTGTCCTGCAATCAAATTTTTCGATGAGCAACTCGCATCAGATGTCTGTTGTTCATGATTTAGGATTGTTAAAATCATTTTTAGATATTGAGGTTACATTAAGGCAGGATTATGATTCATTTTTATTTTTTAGATATCTTATGGAATTTGTTTACAAGGCTATTTATATTATCAGCTTAATTATTTATCACAACACAGAACTATATATTCAGCTTTAATATGTTTCTGGATCGATCATGGGTTTTGTTCTTGCATTGATCCATTACCTGTAAATCAGAATTCATAAACTTATATGAAAACCCGATTCAATTGATATGCATAGACAAGTAAGAACCTTTGCTCTAGCGTCCGGACAAGCCCCGAGCCTCTGCTGCCTTCTTTAATTCAGTTCCTTGGCTTCTCCAGTCATAACATATTGCTTTAAGCTATAAACAGCACATTATTTGAGGCACAATGCTATGACATGAGACAGAATGAAGAGAGGAGGCCATTAATCAATCTATCAGGAACTCTGCACTAGGAGATATCACTGCACTCACTCCAAACAAAGAACACTTCATTTCAGTCAAAAACTTGATTTTTTTTATTTGCGGGATGTTTTTTTATTAAGATTCCAGCATTTCCATGGATCATCAGTGCGTGGAACCAGAGCATCTATCTCGGGATTGATGAGATTTGCATGTAATTAATTAAAGTTTGTGATTTTTTTTTGGTAATTGATCACCAAAAAGTTGTGATGCTTCGTGGTTGCATGGTGGATCTGACACTTCAGACATCAATGATTTTGAAGAATCTTGCATTGGAAACTGAAGAAACAAAATCTAATATTAAAGATAGATTGTCTACCTGTGGAGTATGATTCTTTCATATATATTATTATGTGATAAAACTCATATCTTATCCGGTCGTTCGTTATATTTTATCCGGTTACCCATAACATTTAGTTATAAAATTGATTTGATGAGTATGTGGTAAGTTTTATGTATGTTTAATTTTTTTTCTTTCGAAACTTGTGTTTGTATCGATGTTATTAGAACACTAGTCGTCGTCTCCGTCTTCAAATCGCCTCTGTCGTCTCTTTAAATCGCCATCGTCTGCGTCTTCAAATCGTTATCGTCGTCTCCTCAAATCGACAGACACATAAAGAAATCACAACTCGTATCTTTCAGAAGATTTTTACAGGATTTGATAGTTGATAATACCCGATGATGGAGAGGTTGTATGTCTGCAAAATATCTGATGACATAATAAAAAATTTGAAATAACGATGAGAGTATACTTGGCAGAAGAAGAATAACCGAAGATATAATTTGAAAAAAAATCTAAAATCTATACAAATATGAACATCAGGTTAAAGAATATTATCAATATAGCACATATGCACATGAAATCCCGAAGCTAAATGGATAAAATCTGTAAATCTATTACGTGATTAAATTAATTAGGAGAGTGGGTTTCTAGTTTCTACTGAAAAATGATGTTAGTATCATGTTAAAATCATTCATCACCACTACTGTTATCATCCAAAAAAAGGAACTAAAATATCTTATCAGAAGCCTTACATGAGTATCAGGAAGCAGCATATAGCCAAGGACACCTTGCCAACTTCATCAGATGCAAATCCCTCATACAAATAATAAAGGAAACAATTACAAAGAAGTTGGCAAGTCATCCTTGGCTGCATTATATTTCCTGCACTCTCATGCAAGGCCATTGACAACAAGCTAGAGACCATTGCTTAAGACCAAGAACTAGAAATCATGAAGAGATCAAGAGAAGAGGTGATAAGAGTTGGAAAAGAAAAGATGTTGTGATAGCAGGCCAAAGGTTCTTTATATAGTGTTCAATGTGAGCTAGTGGAGATTAAATATTTCTTAATGTTTAGCTAAAATACAGGAGATTCAGAATTTCAGATGCAAAAATGAATATGTGCAGTTTTGAATATTTATTGAACTTGTCTCTGAAATAAATGAACATTTTTGTCAGTGTTTTTTGATATATATGAGACTTTACGTACATGAATTGATAATTTAAAATTACAATTTATAGAAAGAAAGAAAAGTAATCTGGAAGACATGGAAGTTGGTGACTCATAATTCTGCAGTCTCAGTGTTCCTAAGATTGACACATTGCATCTTCTTTCAATATCAAAACATGGATGTATCAGAGAAAATGATTTTTTTTAATGGTTAAATATAATGTTCAATCTAGATGAGAGTGGGACTTGCATCAGAATTTCTGTTGCCTTGTCCCTATCTTCCTAGCTATTACCACAGCTAGCTACAATAAGATTCGTTTTCATCAATATTAATG